CTGCCCTGCCTGCCCCTGCCTTGCCTGCCCCTGCCCTGCCCTGCCTGCCCCTGCCTTGCCTGCCCCTGCCCTGCCCTGCCTGCCCCTGCCTGCAGAAAGGCCATCCAAACACCCAGTGGGGATCCCTGGCCAAACCCCTGACCCTTGCACCTGTGTCACTGCTGTTTGTCATACAGCGTATGATGACATGACCGCAAAACAATATTCCAAGGGTTTTATTAACAAGTATAATACATATGCATTGTATACTAAATATAGTATGAGGACTGTACAGTACAAATTTACATTCACAGTTTGACATGACAAAATGTCATTACTGAATTCCCGTTGGACTACCAAAGTAGAAACAGTGAAAGTACATTAAACATTCACATCTTTAGTAAGAAAAGATTACCAGAATGTTTCCATATTTGCAAGTTATAGTAATGCACGCTAGAAACCTTTAATTACCCAGTCTTATTAGCTTATAAAATATATTACATTTTATTAAAAAATTTCTGCATAGTTTATACAAGTATTAAATATAATATCCCTGCTATTTTTGCAGGTAAGAGATGCTAAGCAGAAAGATTATTTTGACCCTCTAATATTTGAAGTACATTAAAAAGGTGCTAATATCTGTAAAATATAATGAAAACTGGTGTAGCCCTCTTAAGATATGTAAAATGCTTTGCAATATTTTTATAGGAAGGATTTGTATTCATCTACGTGTTGCTAATCTTGTCAGAGACAACAACATATTTGGACAAGATCTGGCATTGGAAAGATCACCACAGAACGGCGGTGTGCATTTCAGTAAAACCACACGCAGCAATACCCGCTTAGCTTTCTGCAATTCTCTTCTTAGAAACCAGTAACTCATTGTAGTCAAATGGCTTAACCAGGCACATTTTAGTGAAAGGGTATTACCTGTTCCACACTGCACACTGCGATACTGCCAGTGAAAAAGGTGGGTTTTTTTAAATATGCACGTTCTGTGGGATTAGGGTTTGGTATCTTTATGTCTAAACTGCCTTCTCTTCAGGGCAAAGATGGAAGGACTGGCTTTTTAGAAGCATTTAGTTTTGTATATTTAAAAGCTACAAGATAGCTTTCAAATCAAAGGTTGCTAAAATGAGTCAACGAGCCAGTTAAAAGATGTAAATTCGCATTTTCAGCTGAAAGATGCAAGCGTATTTGTTTGTGACTTTTTTGACATTCCACAAAAAAGACACCACAGACACAAGTGAAAAACCCTATAAACAAGGCATTTGCATGAAATAATCTCAAATATTTATATTTCATATTCAAATTTCTGTTGTCCTAAATCACAAGGCACATGGATAAAGATACTTAAAAGTTCTGTTGCATCTTCGCTGTATTTGTCCCCACGATCAATATTTTCAGGGAACAGGTACATTGGCTAATGAATGAACATGGTAAATAACTTAGGTTAAATTCTACAAAGTAACTCTTAGTTACAAAGTTGTTCTGCTTTTAGGGTATTGGATTTAAATTGGTAGTTAAAAAAAAAGAGAAGATGGTAAAACATTTTGTGAAGGCCATGAAACAGAAATGTTCCTTAAACACCCCAATTTTATGCATTTGCATTTGCTAAGCTAAAATGGGATCAGCTGCCATTAAGCTGCTTATTTTTATAGGATCTCATCTGCTTTTTACCCCCAGAATATAGTGGAGAACTGTTTTCATCCCAGGACACTATCTGTAGACTTGTGCCTGATGCTACAGGGCTCCAGCAGCCGCATGGTCAGTGACGTGCCTGCGTTTATGGAACTGCCGTTAAAACCTAGAGCCTAAGGAAGGAGGCCAGTTCTGGCGCCACATGATACCGCCGAAAATGAAGAACCCCAACAAAAATCCACACTCTAGAATCGCTGCTCATTAATATCATTCTCTTCCCTGCAAGTTCCTCAATGTTAGTAACAACCTGGCCGACCACAACGCGACCGATTCCCCTCCCAGGTTTTTCAGCTCCCATAGATGCACAGGTGAGAGTCAGCTAAAGACCGCCCTGGCCTAACTTCCCTCGGTCCTCGTGAAGTGCTGAGGCTGCATGATGCTGCAGCAGAGCACACTCATCCTCCCTGCAAAAGCTTTGCAGCCATGCCCCCAGCCCCGCTTTGTAAGTCCCCCTTCTCCCCTTCATAGAGCACACGTTCAGGGCCCCATTGCTTACATGAAATTGCCGGTTGCATATTCCCAGATGTGTTACACAGCTGGAACAATACTTTGCATTTCACAGCAATTGCTGTAGGAGCACTTTCTTCCAAGAAGTACAGATCCTCTCCTTCTCTGATTCTATGGGTATGGGATGTCAGCAGAACAGCTGGTCAACACTATCTCCAAGGGAAGGCGCTTTGCACTCGAATTCTTGTGTCTGCGAGAGCGTTTCTGTTTGCCGTTGGGCTCCACGGGATGTAGAAGCACAACCCACCTGCTCCACAAGCTCACGCGTACCCACCTGCAGATGGGCACTCCACCTGCCTCCTCCTGGAGAGTTTTAGGAAACTCCCCTCCTCCCCCCTCCGCCATTTTCCGGTGGGTTTTTCCAAGAGAAATGAAAATCTGACTTCAGTATGTTCAATTTGCAGGGAATAGCGTTTACCTTACGTAGGGGAAACAGCAAAAACACACCTGGTGTGCGAGAGCCTAGAGAAACTCATCCGGTTTCCTTGCAGTGCCATGACATCTGCCAGCTCATAAAGACAGAAACCTTCCTTTCAGCGGGCTCCCAGAGACAGGAACAGTTCCAGGGTCAACTGCAGGTTGCTGAATTCAGTTTATTTTATCTATTGAGTCGTGTTTGCTAACTGAACTTGGGAGTTAAGACTTGCTGCTGCTGACGTTTAATGCGGTAAGACACATCCACAGGAAAGCTTAGTCTACCTAGCGCTGAGAGACTACCAGAGTCACAAATCAGAGTTAACAAAGGGATAATTTGGTATATGTTTTTATCCAAAAGAGATACATGACTCAATTTATCATCAGAAGTGCTTCGTATCTGATGCCATCTTCTCATAAAAATATTATGGATTAATAATTTTAAATACTGTAGTGTGTTAAGGTGGCACTCGCAACAATACAGGTTGGAGCATTTCTAACATAACGATTGCTATTTTCTGAGGTACAGCAAAGAGAAAAAATACTTAAAAGTAGAGGAAATGTAGGGGAGTGATTGTGGAGGGATACTCTATATCCCTGAAATGAGGTGTGGTAGGTTTCTATGAGGATCATTTAATGCCATGTCATAGGAGAGTACCGTGTGCGTTCCATCCATACACTTGCACAGAAACCAGACACAGGGTGTCACACAAGGTCTTCATTTAACAGATCCACCAGGGCATTATGCAATAAAAACAAGGATATATACTACACTATAATACAGAGGACAGGTGACATTGGTTTAGATGCACAATACTACATATAGACCAATTCCTGCCAATTTTTCTTCTTGACTGGGGTAAATCCTACTATGACTCAACCTATCTGTAAAGTAAATTATATTGCTTAAGATTTATTTCTACAGTGTTGTTCACTGTTCGGGCAGAGGGGATTTCTGAATCAGGTGCCTTTGTAAAACTATTGTATTAACCACATTGCAGAAATCAACAGAGTTGGGAGAGTCCATGCATTGCATTGTTGAGCATAAAATGAGAGTGTATCCCTTGCAGGGCACATAAATAAAAGTCTCTGGCAAGGACTAGCATTTTGGATATTCAGTAACATTTACTATTTTATCAGTATATGCTGGGTTGATTATATGAAGAAACCAACAAAAGCTGTTAGTTTACAAATTCCCTTATTCACAATGGAATACATTAAACATACTCTCTGTAGAAAGGGTTTGCTTAGCATCCCCAGGAGAAAAAAAAAAAAAAGTGTTCACATTCTTTAGGTCTGACCCGTGGCAAGGACATAGAAGGGTTAGATAACATCTGTTACTGACCGTATGTAAGCTTTTAATGGTATAAACTCAGAGATTCAGACCAGCTGAATCCAAATTAAAATGCACGTGTGGAAAAAAAAAAAAAAAAAGGTGTGACAGAAGTCAGGGACAGAAGACATTCAGACTAGCATGTGGCGTTTTCTGTGAAGAGCAAGATGGTCCGAACGGGAAAAGCTACGGTCACAGTCTGGGCACTGAAAAGGTTTGATTCCTGTATGCTTGCGGAAATGCCGCGTTAGTTCATCAGAACGAGCAAACTTCCACGTGCATCCCTCCCAAGTGCATTTGTACGGTTTTTCACCTAGAAAAGGAAACACAGAAGTGGGGATTTAAGACATAAACACATCAGTTAAATATTCGACAGATTTATCCTCTTGCCTTGTCAAATTTCAGCAAGTACTTTAATGCTTACTCAAAAAGCCTCCAAACAGTACAGGGCTGCAGAGTACTCTGGGCTAGAAACCATGTAGTTGAAGTTAAACAGATGAAAAAATTGCTTCCTGCCACAACTCTTTTTTTGTTGTCTCTCTGTTCCTCCCTCTGCCACATTAGCCCTTGTTTTGTCTCATCAAGCCCAGAAGTGTGAAGGTTTAAGCATTTGTTCAAGAATCTTCAAAGCCAGGACCTTGTATTCTAGATTAGTTGGGGAAAGGACTGGTGTTACCATCCAGCACAGCAGGTAGAAACCTTGTTGTGACTTCTTAAAGTTAATGTAGTGTACATAACTGGCACCACTGTCACAAGTAGCTCAACCTGAACTCTCTCAGTCATTACTTTCTAATATGTTATCCTCCTCCTCCTTAACACTATCATGCTGCCCAGCAGGTAAAGGGCTGGCTTGTACAGAGATGCAAGACAGACATGAACCATTTTACCTAAAGGAGTCCCATATCTTTGTAAAAAACTTGTATATATATATTCATTCAGCATGCCAAGATGAACATTTCTGTGGAGAACAGAGATGGAGATCTGTTTATGGGAACACCCACTCCAAAAAGAGCACTATTGGACCAGTGGTTAGCATGTCCACATGAAGCAGATGTGTTTGCATTTGGCACACAGTCCAGACTTTTGCAAATGGGCTACTCCCATGGAAGTCTCAGTGAAATTTAACAGTGATGTAAGAGGTGAGGTAGTGCAATTTGAACTGATTTGGTGTTTACAGGGCGTGCGGAATGAGTAATCTGCAAGCAACTGGACAGAAAATGAGCAAAGAGCCAGTGAATGTAAAGCATACCAGCATACACCGTGATCCTGCTTTGGCTTACAGTCTCTTCTTGTGGGTTTTTCCTGCTACATCCTCTGTCTTTTGCTCAGCCTGTGATTATATTCAGAACAACACCAGATCTAACTTCTGTCATTTTGTTATTTACACCTGTGCTCACCCGGCCATCAGCGCAAACAAAAAGCTTAGTCTACTAATTTACCCTAGACTTGATGAAAGAAAAGCATAGCAATGCTCAAACCTGTATGGGTTCTTCTGTGAGCTTTCAGATGGGAGCTTTTAGTGTAGACTTTGTTGCAGCCTTCATAATCACATCGATGTATTCTGCGTTTTCTTTGCGTGTCCGGAGACTCCACAGGTAAAGGTCTCTTTCCTGGCTGAACTATAACTGAAGGGTGATTCCTGCAAAGTCAAAGTGAATGTTAAAAATGAAAAACATTTAGCACAGCAAACCTCAGCTAATGTGATTCACGACAGAGCCCTTTATTCATTACCACTCTGTCTCTTGGCAGGAAGAACAACATTACATGCATGTCGAAAAATTCAAGAGGGTTTAGCAAATTTCATGTAGGCTAGCAGTAATATTTTAAAATGTTTACACACTTTGTGGCATGATGTAGCCATTTTTACTACTCCCTAGCTTTTTTTAAACTTAGAAAGGAAAAACTCCCTTCAAATTCCTGTTTTTCAGTCAAACGCATTTTTCTCAGTCTCTGAGTTCATAGTGAAGTTTTCTTGTACTTGTTCACAATTTTTCTTCTTCCTTCAAATGTACCCAACTCGCTTGTAATTGGAAACATCAATTCCATATTATTAAAGAAATTGTATCTTTAGGGTTTCAAAGCAGAACTCAATCTTTATTGTTCCAGCCACTCCTTTAGAGAGTAATTAAGAATTTCCTGTTTGGTGCTGGCAGGAGGGTGCGGCCTCCCTGTACCACTGACGTCAATTCCTAAAAGTAGAGTTTAGCCTGTGTGGCACACCCACAGGATGTCTGAAGTTGTCCCTCCACCTTCATAAACATCATTTTTTGCTTTTGAAGCCCACAGGTACAGTGCAGGTAGGACATGTGCTAACTACACATGGACTTCTGTAACAAACAAAAACATAAACATTTGCGCACGTGAAAACACATCGAGCTTCTTAAGAGGTGTCATTGACCATGGATATTTGGGTTTGAACAACACCCCTACTGTAGAATTGGGGACAAAACCTTGATTCTTTCTTCCATGTCAATGTTAGAAAAGGAAATAAATATGCTCATCAAAAAGGTAAGTGGCATTACAGATCTTGCAACCTCACAAACTTGCTTTTTCAAACCCTTAGCAGATCTATGTCAGTGCTTTTAATATATTTTTTAGCTCTTAATTGAAACTTAGTATATAATGTGCAGATAGTAGCATTCCTTGTTGCAAAACCAGCTCCTCCATGTGACAGAAGTAAGCTTCCTAGAACTTCCATCTTTTCTCAGTTACTGTATTTCAGATTTCTTTACTGATCGAATTATAACACTAGGTTATATTAGTTACTTAAACCAAGTTCCTTTAGGGCCTAATTTTCAGAAATGCTGAATACCTACTTCTCTCAGCAAAATAAAGGGCATGCGCTGAAGGTCCTTTGGTTAAAAACAAATAAAAATAGACCAGGCACAGCAAAGAAAATCTTGGGCGTCATTTAACAAGAAAAAAGATTCTATTGCTCTCCACAGCAGCAGGATGGGAATTACCAGTGTGGAAAAAGTTTAATTCTGTTATTAATTCTTTTATTAGCGTTACAAGCTTGAAATTGGGAGCCAAACTCTCTTTCTTGGGTGTTTCTGTGACTGTTGAGCGATGTACTCGTCAAGTACACACTAAATCTATCTAAAAATATTGTAATGGCAGGACACCCCGGATGGTGATATTAGACACAGATGTACATACTCTCAAATAAGGAAGGCAGGCTTTTAGCTTCCAAAGAAATGCTTCTCTAAAGCAATGCTCAAGTTTTAACGCTGTTGCACGCTAATCTTTTTGGAGAAGTTCTGACTTAGGACAGCAAGCAAACTTGCTTTAAATCCCTATGTGTGGAGGCTAATCCTGGACATGGTTAACACCTGGAAAAAGGAAGAAAAGGGATATTGCTGTAAACCGTTTGTGATGGTTTTCCATCTAAGAGCGTGTAAAAAAAGCACTGTGAATTCGTCTCTGTCTCATTTTCCCTTTAGAGGAAAGGAGGCTGGCAAGACTACAGAATGCGATCAATGATCAGATAGGGTGTGGCAGTTTTAAAAAATGGTTAAGGCGGAGTCAAAAATTAGAGGTAAGTATTAAGTAAGTGTCAATAATAAAAGCACAGCCCTACTTCTTTCATTCCCTCTTGCACAACCAGATACAAATTCACGTTAAGTCTAACCATTTAAGTATTATTCTTTAATCGATAAGCGCATCTTCCAAAAATCATGTTATGACTTCAACAGCTTTTTCTCCTTCTTTACCAACAGACCACACTATGTTGACAGCATGCATTAGGCTTTGATGCTTGCACTCACAAGAAAATACGTTAATGAGGCTTCTTGTATGTGGTCAGAGATGATTACCTCAGGTTTGATTTTAGAAAATAACTGCATAGTTACATCAACCATCCAACATACTAGATTCTAGTAAGTCCAGCAATCCCTACAGAAATGCCACCAACATTACATATATTATGCGTATGCCAAAAACTAACACTAACGCAGTATCAGTCACTTAAAAGTGAGACTGAAGGCTTCCTATGCTGCTTTAATGTAGCTTATGTGTCTAAACAGTGCACTTCGGGCAGCTGGAACCTATGAAAAATGATAAAAAATCAGTGCCTAACTATAGCTCATAATGCAGAGAGGCTGATGAAGCTGTGAGACAACAGCAAATTTTATAAATGTCTAGGTCTCTCATCTTGTAACTTGTGTGATTTGTCTATGTGTTTTTTTAAGCGATAAAGAGAAAAAACTACCATTTACAAACTTCTTGTTGCGGATACAGCAGATGCTGAACTTGAAAGGGCTGGCTTTAGGAACGAGCAAGAAGTGCAGCCTACAGGACAGCCAGGAAGCAATTTAAGCCGTTACAACGTGAGGACAGAGTCTCCATAAACGTAATGCTCTACATGAGCAAACAGAGGAGATGCTTTGGAAACACGGACTATTCAAATGTTTTTTGTAACAACGCTACCTACACATTATACCAAATTTTATATTCTTTGCTCAGCGGATGGGTTTCCTGTGGAAACTGGACTCACTGGGAAATAATTAATGCAAATCATTAACACAGGTGACAAGTCTGCAGAAGTCTCAGCCCTGGAGGAAGGGTGTGGTATCAGCCAAGAACAGCACTTACTGGTTTGCTCTTGTTAAAGAGGTCTAACAGAGAACAAAAGTAAACTGAAACATTTGATAGTCCTGACCTAGCAGAAGTTAGTCCCAAGTACATACAGACCCGACTCCCTTGTGTGACAGGTCCATTATAGAAGATAAGTAACCACCTAATAAGCATGGATGTTTACTGTTTTATTGTACATTTATTATAATAGAACACACAAGGTTATTTTAAAATAAACAGCATATTGTTTATAAAAGCTAGCTGGCAACTAGTTAATTGCTAAGAGCCTGCAGCCTAGAAGCTGCATCTAAGCTAGTTAGAGACTTGAAAAGGAGGAGGGGTGCCCACAAGAAGGCTATGCAGAACATAGTTAGCCCTGGCCCTGCGGTGTGCCTTCTAACCTGGGAACGGTCCTGAGCAGAAGGAAGAAGCTGCCTTTCTGCATTCTGAAGAAAATGCAAAAGACCACCTGTTCCATGCTTTCTTTCTCTTTCTGAATCACCCCGCACTCATACACTGGTTTTGGGAGTCTGGCTTGGAGCCCTTCTTTGCCACCCTAGGAGGTGAGGTCTTGTACGACTGCTCGGAGGGTGACGGTGAGAAGGAAAAAAGGGCAGAAATGGATTCTGAGGTCATGTACCATGAGCCCAGCTCAGTTCCCAACTTCAGCTTCTGCCAGAGCCAAGCCAGCAGCCTGCACGCCTGGCCAGAGCACTTCCTGCTGGAAGATGAGCCTGGCTCTCGGCCATCCCATGATTTTACTAAGTTGACAGAATTTTCCCTAGGAAAATGGGAAATGGAAGGGTGCCCATGGCTCCTCAGGTACTTCCTGAGAAATTTTTAATATTTCTAATTAAAAAGTTTCTGCCCAGACCTCACTTCTTCCTTCTAGCCATTGCTCTGCCTTCTGCAAACAGAACTGTTTCAAACCCAATTAGACCTGTGATCCAGTTCATGCAGTGGCCCCAGTAACAGTTGTACCAGCACAATGAGTTGGTACTGGGGTAGAAACAAGTGGCTGAAAGGACAGCGAGCTTCAGGAACTACTTGAGCTGCCAAAAAACCCACCCACGGAACAATGGCCTCAGGTAAACATGGAATTTCACTGGATATATACAGAGCTTGTAGGCCTGAGGGGGTTCTTTCCACCAAGCAGCCCAAATTTTTTAAAAGGCAAAGAGGTCCTTGAAGAAAAGAAAGGCAGAAGACTCTTTTTAAGAAAGGTATTTTAGATAACATAAAAACAGAGATCAGTATGAAATGTCTTTACAGTATCTTTCCATTTTGCTGCTGGTTTTACATAAACAGGTATCCTATTTTTGGTAAATTGTAGGATTGGGACTAGCATTACTTCAGAACTGCATTACGTAAACGGCAGATCTACATGGTTGCGATGTATAAATATATATGAAGTCCTATATTGCTAAAGAGGGGGAAAAAAGGTTGAAATCACATTTCCCAGTGGCAGTGGGGGGGAAGGATGTTTTTCTAGATCTTATTATGTGTTCTAAAGCACAGCAGCACTCCCTCCCACTCCTCAAAAGTGGTAACTGCTGCAATGAACTGCTTTTCATTCTGCTGCTGATCTTGGGACTTCTGTTAAGCTACTTACTCTTGCAACATTACTTGCTGGGGAGACAATGAGGTCATCACTGGAGGTGACATTTGTTCAGGGTAGAAGTCAGTCTTCGATGGTTCACTTCCTGGCTCTACTTTGATTGTTTTCTTCAGTGTAGGCTTCTCATAAGACTCAATGACAGGCACTGTATGGGGGAGGGTAGGAGAGGGAAGGCAACACATCAAACATATGGAGAGTTATGGAAGTAAAAAATATATGTAAAAATCTACAGCTAAACCAAAATCAATCCCCAGCTCTATATTTAGTGCAACAATTTATGTTAAAATACAGAATCTTCCAGTTTTAGTCTATTTCCTGATGTACTATGATTCAAAACAATTTTCATCAGTCCAACATTTTTATCAGACCAAGCCTCAGTAGATAAACAGCTTTATGCAGATATAAATCAGAACAGAATACGACCTTGGTAAGTTTGGTAAAATATTTACAAAGTAAGTTCTATGCCTGCATATTTTAGAAGAACAGGAATTATGTTCCATTTCCTAAAATGTGAAAAACACACATAAAAGTGCTTGGATATACAGTTATTTTCCCAGGATGAGACAGCATAAAAAAAAAACCTCTGACAACACCAACCTTGCATGCTACTTGGAGTTTCCATCTCATCCGCAAGGACTGTGGACACCATGATGGGCTGCTGAAGATGGGGAGCATACATAAAAGGAACTGGCTGGACCACAACAGGCTGTATAACCGGGAGTATTCCAGGGCTTCTCAGTCCGTGGCGTGAAAGAGCAGCAGCCATTACAGGTGGGATTGTTATTGGCATGGAGATAGGCTGTACTCCTGGGGGTGATGGTGTGAATTTACTGAGAGGTGAGCTGGGTGAGGACAGAGTCAATCCAGGTGAAGTTCTCCTATGCACAGTCTGAAATTTTAAGGGGGAAGGAGAACTTCCAGTTGAAGGTGGTGAGCTCCGTTTGTTCACCGTAAGGTCTACTGGCTCCATCTGGATTCCATTTGATAGTCCTTCGGGGTTTGAGTAGAATTTATTGTGCAACATACTCGGTGTAGAATAAATGACGCTATATTTGTTTGGCTTCATTTGGTCCATGTAATTGGACGGGTATGACTGTCAGAAGGAGTGGAAACAAAAATAGAATTAAATGATAAATCAACACGCAATTGCTGTTGAAAAAGAAAGGCAGCTAATAAAACTGAGGCAAAATGAAAAGCTTCAAGAAAGCACTTTAATGTAGTTTCTACATAAAAGTGAATTAAATAAAGCTTAAGATTTCACTCAAAGGAAGTTACTGATGTACTGATTCACTGTTTCAGAGGCAATGTAAAACAGATGATGAAAACAAATCCTCAAGGCTTATTCTTTTTCTCCCTTAAAAACTGCCTTTCATAAACTAAGCTGTACGTTACTTGACTGACCTGGGAGATACCTGGTGCTATGCCCAGCATATAACTATATACTGAGGAACATGAAGTCAAGCAAGAGAGGAGTTAAATTGGACTTAGCATTAGTAATGGGTCCCAATCAACTGCTTAAGTAACTGGAAAACAATCATCACTAAAGCAAGCAATTATGTATCTGAACCCTACAAGCAATAGAAAATACACAGCTGAACTATATAAGCAATGGGTGAGAAACTCAAGAGAGCAAAAATTAAATTCTAAACTTTTTTTTTTTTTTGAGAAATAAAGCAGCTAGTAAGGCAGTCTGATTTTGGAAAACTAGTACAAGGATAAACATTTGGCATGTTGGAAGAATATTCCTGTTAGTGATAGCTAGCAGTTCTCATTACAAGACCATATAAACCCCAAAGCTAATCTTGACCTATGTGACAATCTCTGCATTTTAGTGGAAATAGTTTTTGTAAACCAAGAAGTACTAACATTCATTGCAGAGTATAGTATTATTAAACAACTATCCAGATCGATTTCGCATTAAAGAAGTGTTGAAAATTGAGGTTGTTTGCTGACAGGTAACTTAAAATGGGAACAGACATGATGTTCTAACATAGCAGGTACACGTAGAAAATGCAATCCACATCGGTTTTTAGCCCTTAGATGTTGTAAATTTTTTGAAATAAAATGCTATCTTTGGATTCTAGGTAAGTAAAGCTTCACATGAAGGCTAAGCAGTTTCACACTAATATTGAATTCTTTGGCACCAAAAAGACTTTGATGAGTGGTATTAAAAAAATGTTCAAAATGTTAGAAAGGGAAACAGATTAGAAATATAAAACTATGGTATTTTTATACAATAATTTATGATTATTTTTTTTTTCTTGAGTGGGTGAAAACTTCTAGTGATACATCTTCCGGGTTTCCTACCTGTGTCTTCCCTTGTGAGGGACAGTTAGTTGATTTTAAATGTCAGCATTAACTAAAAGTATTTTTGCAAAATGACACAAATGTATTTTTCTTCTTTTCAGTTTTTGTTTGAAACAGTGAGTTTAGAAAATATTAAATTTTCCTGCTGTATTCATAGCACTGTAATAACACATCTGAGTCACCTGTTCCATAAAATACTCAAATAAAGCAGCATACACAATGGTGATTAATTTTCAAACTGTAAATATTACATTAAAACCTCTGAAACTTTATTTATTGTCTCTATAACTATTCTCACAAATTCAATCTATAAAAATGTTGATGGTAATTGGTTCCCCGGAATTCTGTTAAAATGCCATTATTGCAAGCAGTGCTGCCTAAAACAAATTCTGTAGATTTGCCAACACTACTGAGACAAGCGACAAAATTATTAGCATTCTAAGTGATGAAGGCCACTGAATATTGATAGAGTTTAATACTTAACAGTATTTAATATCTACTAAATCTGATCAAGTTATGGGCAGAGGCAAAAATTCAGAATTTAAACATATAAGAGGTATGAAGTACTTCTGTTAAAATTGCTGTTATTGGCTTACAGTACAAAGTCTACTCAGCTTCAGCAAACTGTCAAATGTTCCACGACCGAGCATCTGTGCATTTACAGTGCTGCAGGTTTGTCAGGGATAATCTATGAACATTTCTTCCATTGCAAGAATACTAGAAAGGAACAAGACTGTGCAATTTAAAAAATTTGTTGAAAAAATACCAAACTATTAAAATGTTGTGCAGAGAACTGTAAACTGGAAAAGTTAAGTAAAATATACTTAAGACAAGTAAGAAACAAGTAAGAAATACTTTCCAAGAATTAGGAAGAAAATAATGATGTTTCTAAGAAGCGATTATTTTAGGGACTTGGTATTTTACCCCATATGCCTTGCATTATTTTGTATAGAAGGTTTTCATTGTTGTAATTAAGCCAGCACAGACTTAACATCAGCTATTTTTTCTGGCCATTTGGGGAAGCTGAATCATTTTTCCGAACTTTTCTTCCTTCTGTGATTCTAATTGCTATGTTTCTACCTGAACTGCAGATAAAGTTGTGATAGAAAGATGTGGTGTGACGAATTATCTGTGTTGGGAACAAAAGGAGTGAAAAAGTGAGGACGCTAGAACAATGAAAAGGAGAGTATCTGTTGTCAATAGCACTCTATTTGGTGGAAAACAGTTTTGCTTCACTCAATCAAGTGCGGTTGAAACCTTGTTCGTTTGGAGTAAATCACACTCAGATCTATCTCCTAGTTCTGAAGTTAAGCTTCCTGTACCTTTTAGCATAGCAAAGTTTCAGTTTCTAGCTCCCTGGGACACAGCAATTGCCATTAGGTTGCTCTGAATCACTGCTTTCAAATTTGTAAGTCACTTGCGCTTTCTTTGCCAGGGAAGCGGACAGTACCCCTTGGGGGACATAGGATGGGAGAGTAAGGAAGACTTCACAGTCTCTCTCTGTAAATAGGGAGCATTAACAACAGCAAACAAACAAACAAACGAAAAAAGTCCAATAACCACTGTTTGGCTTTCTAAATACCACCAGGAGTGTACTTCATAGCCTCCAAGAGCAGTCGTTTCCCACCTGTCCTAGAACTTACTTGAAGTATTCTGGTGGAACAATGGAAACTTAGATATTGCTGCTCTCTTTGCCAAAAATATTTAAGCTGATACATTTCCCTTGGATTTCTACTGTGGGAATTAACAGTGTATGTAGGAGTTTGGTCTGACTTGGACTGAAAAAACCCAACAATTTCCCACATTCCTGTGCTTTCCTAAACATCCCGGTGCAGAACGGTATGCCACTGCAGCATATATATAAAGATGCAGGATTGTATTTCAACATATATATTCCTTTACAGTCTCCATTTAGCTCTTTTTTATGTTTGATACCATCACTTTCCCTCTTTGGGCCTTACAAAGCAATTCATTTACCTTTCCTTGCTGTTTGTCCATCATGAAACCCAGAGCACTGAAGCCACAAAGAAACTGGAAAATAAATCAAAGGAACTTCTAATATAACCCTATGAATTTGACTTAAAAATTTAGCCAGCCTCTTGGAAAAACAGAAACACGTGAAAAACCTGCTTACCTACCTACACTATTTGTCAAATCAGTATCATGTAAGAGCATGAATAGGGTTTAATCCAAATAGTAGCTACTACACGAAAAAGCATTCTCACCACCTGATACTTGTATTCCAGTACACTACTTAAGACCTCAACCCCTCACGTAGCACATAGCTATCTTTAAAAATGGGTGAAACAAGTAGTTTTGGGACTGATGGAAGGGCAGAAAAAACCTGTTTATTTCAATTCAAAGAAAGATGGTAACACATAAAAAAAGCAAGTTCTTTCACTAAACAGTCACTGGTATTTGTCTAAATGTTTAAAAAGTTCTCACAGCAAATATTTAGGTAGGACTCAGATGACTTTTTCACCAGTTCATTAAGAACTATCATAAAATGTGTTCAATAATTCAACTGAACAGCAGAGTGATTAAATACTGTGGGTGCGAGCTTCAGTCATCTGAGAAGTATAGCTAATCCTTTCAGCCACACACCCTGAAATACAGTGGTGTCAAAACCATAATCTGTTTCCTTCTCCCACCCCAACTAATGATATTTTTTAAAGACAGACTTTATACCTACGGACAGTGTATGTTCAGGTAAAATAAAGAATAATTCCTAAGGGGCTTCATTTAGTTTGGCCTCTAATGATACTATCAGAATGAACAACACAATACAAATAAATCCTGATTTAAGAATTCTGAGTTTGTCAGCCCACAGTGAACTGAATGCTATGCTCAGTGCCTCCAAAACACCACACTGTTTTCTCTTTCCTTCCATCTTCTCAAAAGAAGGTCAAGAAAACTAAAATGCTCAGTGGCTGCTATCCTTTCCTATGTTCTCTCCATACCATGATTCCTCCCTTCAGAGGTGTCTCCAGAGCAGTTCCTGCTGGGGAGCTGTGGCGGGGGGGGGCCCTGGGAACCCCAAGAAGCCCTGGGGAAGCCAGGACCTCGAGAGCTTGGGGCTAAACAGCCTGCATGCATACAGAAGCTGAAACACACACACTCCTCAGCCCAATGGAAACCAGAGGAATCCCCACGAAGGGAACCTCACTTAAAAAATGTCCTTTCCTCTGGACTTTCTGCTTTTCCTTTCCCGCCTTTTTTTTTTTTTCATTATGCAATAACGAAAAGTGTATAGACTTAGTAAAATGCTCTGAATGTCTCTAACAGCTGGCTGGTCAGAGTGATGACACCGAGTTATAAGATCACCCAAGATGACTCCAGAGGTCCAACACATGGAAGGTACCACACCTCTGCAAGGAACATGTGATATAGAATACGCAACATTTGGAACTACAGCCTTGAAATGCACTTGGCTCAGAAATGCTCCCTTGTTCTTCTCATTGCAGTTTTCCCTTCATTTGCTGATCTGGGGAAGACTGCTCACTCCTGCCCTGGTCAGCCTGCTGAGGGACCAACCCTGTCCATTTTGCAGCAGCACACAGCTGTCTGGGGCAGGCTCTTGTGTCTCTCATGTGCATCATCCCAAGCCATGGCAGAACCTTCCTTGGTAGATGAAGGCAGATGTGTACAAAAGACAGCCCACAGCGTCTCTAGAGTGATTTTCTGTTATTTGTGTAATGACACTTCTATTGTAAAAAGTGGCCCATTTTCTGCCTTTAATGGACACCATTAGATACCCTTGGATAGGGACATGGTTTAGTGGTGGGATGGCAGGGTTAGGTTAACGGTTGAACTTGATGATCTTAAAGGTCTTTTCCAACCTAGATGATTCTATGATTCTATAATTGTAGATAATCACTGCTAATCTTAATAAGGTTATGCAATAATTGTGATTGAAGTGACAGACATACTGGCCAATACTGAGGTTCTTTCTCGACCCAGATCTGGAATTTGTCATACTTACACCCTCAGTAATACATCAGTTATTCTTCTATCACTGCTTTCAAGTAAATCAAACTGTAACTTCAAAATGCATATAAACTTAACTCTCAAAAAGTGTTATTAATACACTGAAGAAATTAAGACTGCTTACAGATGCATTTAAATTGATGACAATTATTCTACATTTTAAATAAAACAGGAAGCAAACTCTTTACTGAAAGATGCATTCAGAGCATGAGTTTAATGCACTCTAATTTATGCACACTGACCTCACCCTTTTAATTGATCAGCCTTTCTAAGGGTGGGGTTTCATGTTACACTTGATC